CTTGACGTCGAGGATGCCGTACGCGTGGGGCGCCTGCAGGCCTGCCTCCAGTATCTGCTCCTTCGCCGGGGCTGGCTGCGCGCGCGAAGGGGGGGGGGAGGGGGAGAGGGAGGGCGAGGGGGAAGATGGGGAGGAAGGGGAGGAGGAGGTGGGAGGAGGAGGAGGGAGGAGGAGGAGGGGGGGAGGAGGGGGAAAAGGATGAGGACGGGGGATGATGGTGGAGGAGGTTGGGGGAGGATAGGGATGATAAGGAGGAGGAGGTGGGGAGGGAGGAGGGAGAGGAAAGGGAGGTGGATGAGGAGATGGAGGAGGAGGCTCGGACGCATCATCGATACTGCAATAAACCCACTGTCTCAAGTCCCATTCCTCGTGCAGTCGAAATCCATAATGAGGACGGGCGGTAAGGACGCAAGAGCCTTGGACGCTGACGTTGGCACTTTCTGGGCGGCGGACTGCCAACACCCCGAAGGGCTGCCTAGTGGGAGCCGCGAAGGATGCGCCGCAAAAGCAAGGACGCAAGGATGTCTTGGGACATCCGTGCGTCCTTAGCCTGAGTTTTAACTGTAAGACCAAACGCATGTTCTTCCCAACTGCAGGGGTACTCCCAATTGAGTGACGATCGACCGATGGGCGTGTCGCCCCAGTAGCGAATGCGGAGGTGGGAAGGGCGATGAAACATGGAAGAACACAACAAGTCGCAAGCATAAGCCGTGGACTATCTGCGCGGGTCTCCAAAGCTGATGGTTACGTATGTCGATGGCTTTCTCCGACTAAGTTGCGTAATGGAAGTAATAGTGGTACCAATAGATAATATCATACGCACTAATACGAGTAGCCTATATTCGTAAGAAGAATAACCACAGTATTCGCAATAGCATTGGTAGTAATCTGCGTACTCGTAATAGCCATGGCGCTAGCAATCATAATAGCCATCGCCCTAGAAATTCGATTAGAAAGAGTAGAAGTAAAGACAACTGTCGGAATAATCATACTAGACATAGCGACAATAATTCTAACTCCTCGAACAAAACTAAAAAGTAGTAGTCGTCGTGGTAGTGTCAGTAATAGTCGTAGAAATGACTGTCGTCGTAATAATGGTTCGGGATAGTAGTAGCCGTGGTAGTAGTAGCAGCAGAAGTAGTTATTGAGATAATTGTAGTAGTACTAATCGTACTAATCGTAGTAGTAGTCGTAGTCGTAGTCGTAGTCGTAGTAGTAGTAGTAGTAGTCGTAGTAGTAGTAGTAGTAGTAGTAGTAGTAGTAGTAGTAGTATAGTAGTAGTAGTAGTAGTAGTAGTAGTAGTAGTAGTAGTAGTAGTAGTCGTAGTTGTAGTAGTAGTAGTAGTAGTAGTAGTAGTAGTAGTAGTAGTGGTAGTAGTAATAATAATAGTGGTTGTCGTGATGGAAATCGTAGCAATGATACTCGTAATAGTGGTAGTAGTAATAGTAGTCGTCGTAAGACTACTAGTAGTAGCACTAGTAGTAGTAGTAGTAGTAGTAGTAGTAGTAGTAGTAGTAGTAGTAGTAGTGGTAGTAGTAGTAGTAGTAGTAGTAGTCGTAGTAGTAGTAGTAGTAGTAGTAGTAGTAGTAGTAGTAGCCGTATTAGTAGTGTAAGTAGTGGTGGTCGCAGTAGTAGTAGTAGTAGTGGTAGTAGTAGTAGTAGTCGTGGCCGTAGTAGTCATGACAGTAGAAGAAGAAGCAGTGGTAACAATAATGGCAATCGTGCTAATAATGCTGCTGGGAATCGCCGTAATATGAATAGCAATAATAGTAACCGGAGTCGTAATAGTGAATGTAGAGTAATGGGGGGTTATCCTATTCATAAGGATGCACAATCGCATTAGTAGGAATCGTAATGCTACTCGCAAGTGTAATCCTACTACTCATACTAGTAGTCGTACTACCGATAACAGCTACCAACCATACCAATAATAGTAGCATTTCTGATGCTACGAACAATCACAGAGACAATATTAATATAATGTCACTGACAGAAACAAGAAAATACTAATAGCAATCGGAATGGTAATCGCAATTGTATTAGTAATCGCCACGGCAATGGGAATAGCACGAGTACTACTAAGAACAATGCGAATCGTAACAACAATCGTACTCCGCCAACCCTATAGGCGTGTCGAAGACGCTCTCCCGTTGGTCGCCATCGTCGATTCGTGTCGTTTCCGTCGTCTCCTCATCGTCTCCGTCGTCGTCTCCGTTTCTGCGTCTCCGTCAATCATCCTCTCCGTCGTCCCCCGTGTCCTCGCCCTGGGCCCTCCTCCTGAAGCGCGCCAGCCAAAGCGACACTGAACAACGTCAAGGAAATACCTTCCCGTGGACCCCTTCCCAGCCGAGGGGGGGAGAGGGGTCCCGGGAAAGAAGGGGCCCCAGAGGGTGGGTCCCGATCGGTGGGTTTAAGTCGGGCGTCGTGTCCCGCTACAGGACGGATTTGGGATAATTTGTTTTGCAAAAAAAAGCTAACAAACATACACCAAAAAATGTTCAAAAATAGCCAAAACATCGTCCCCATACTATTTGTGAATATTCCTCCTGTAGGGGGACACGCCCGACTTAAGGGTGGGTTCCCATCCAGATGCGCATCCCCCCTGGGCGGTTCTGGGGCCCAGAAAAGCTCCAAGACGCGGCGAGAGTGTCCCAAGAGGCTCCCAAGACGATCCTGGGGGGCTACGAATCGCCGACCTATCGGCCCAAGGCTCCAAAGTAGCCCCCAGACGGCTCAAGAGATTGTCAAAACGCCCCTAGAGGCTTCCAAGATCTCTCCCTAGAGGGACCCAAGAGGCAAACATCAAAGATGTGCCTGAAGATTGTTTGGGATTTTGACGTTCTCGCCTTGTCGGTTTCCCGACGCTCCAAGACAGCCCAAGAGGCCCCCAAGATCGCCGACGAGGCCTCCAAGAGTGCTCCAAAAAGACCCAAGAGAGCCCGAAGACCGCCCAAGAGGCCTCCAAGACAGCCCAAGAGGCCCCCAAGACAGTTCCAAGAGGGAGCCAAGACGGGGGACCGAACGGACATTTCGAGCCCCCGCCCTGAAAGGCTCCAAAGAAGCCCCCCAAGAGGCCCCCAAGAGACACCCAGAGACCCCCAGGAAGCCCCAAGAGGCCCCCACGAGGCTCCCCAAAACCTCCGAAGAGCCTCCCAAGAGGCCCCAAAACTAATCACAAGAGGTCCACGAGAGTGCTCGTCGTCGTCGTCGTCGTCGATGTCATCGTCTTCGTCGTCGTCGCCGCAGCCGCCGCCGTCGATGTCGGTGTCTGTGTCTTCGTCGTCGTCGTCATCGTTCAGGGTCGGCGGCGCCGGCCGGAAGGCCTCTCCAATAGCAATAATAATATTAGTATTAGTGATTGTAATAATGGCAACGGTAGTAGTAGTAGTAGTAGTAGTAGTAGTAGTAGTAGTAGTAGTAGTAGTAGTAGTAGTAGTAGTATTGGTAGTCGTAGTAGTCGTAGTAGTCGTAGTAGTCGCAGTAGTAGTAGTAGTAGTAGTAGTAGTAGTAGTAGGAGTAGTAGGAGTAGTAGGAGTAGGAGTAGGAGGAGTAGTAGTAGTAGTAGTAGTAGTAGTAGTAGTAAAAGTAGTAGTAGTAGTAGTAGTAGTAGTAGTAGTAGTAGTAGCAGTAGCAGTAGCAGCAGTAGTAGTAGTAGTAGTAGTAGTAGTAGTAGTAGTAAAAGTAGTAGTAAAGTAGTAGTACAAGTAGTAGTAGTAGTAGTAGTAGTAGTAGTAGTAGTAGTAGTCGTAGTAGTAGTAGTAGTAGTAGTAGTAGTAGTATTGGTAGTCGTAGTAGTCGTAGTAGTCGCAGTAGTACTAGTAATAGTAGTAGTCGTCGTCGTCGTCGTCGTCGTCCTCGTCCTCGTCGCCGTCGTCGTCGTCGTCGTCGTCGTCGTCGTCGTCGTCGTCGTCGTCGTCGTCGTCGTCGTCGTCGTCGTAGTAGTAGTAGTAGTAGTAGTAGTAGTAGTAGTAGTAGTAGACACCATCTTCGTAGCTGTCACGCTTATATCCGTAATCGTAACACTAAAAATGAGTATGCGGATGATGATGATGATGATGACGAACATTTGGGACATTGAGAATCATGACAATACAGCGAAGAGGAAAAAGGAAGGTAGCAGATCATGATAAGGAGCAACGCAAGCAGGAGAGGCGAGAGCACGGACAAGGTAACGACGACGGCGGCACCACCCCGAAACTCCGCGACGCGAGAAAGCACAACAGTGCCGCAAGAAACACCCGTCGGAGCCCTCGACCCCATCATTCTATGCCACCTTTCGAGCTGGATCGATCATTAAAGGCCCTGAGCCCAGACTTGGGACGAGAACGCCCGGAATCTTTTGCTTCACGGCGCCGATATATGAGAGCACGTGGGGGGGCCGAGAGACCGACACGAGCCGTGCGAGCACACGGGGCTGAACGGCGGCACGCCGTGCCAAACCGCGGGCTCTGAGCGCCACGGGGAAGAGAGGCTCGCGTCGCGGAGTCATGGCATGCGCGGGCAAGCGCGGGCAAATGCGAAACATCTCGAGTGACCAATCCTCCTGCGCTTCGTCCTTTTCCCCCCTCTCCTCCTCCTCCTCCGCCTCCTCCTCCTCCTCTCCTCCTCCTCCTCCTCCTCCTCCGCCTCCTCCTCCTCCTCCTCCCCCTGCCTTTCCATCGCCTTCACTCCAAGAGGTCGGCGGCCCCTCCCTCCTCCTCCTCTCCTCCTCCTCCTCCTCCTCTCCTCCTCCTCTCCTCCTCTTTCCTTCTCCTCCTCCTCATCCGCCACATCCCTGTTCCTCCTTCTCCTCGTTCTCCTCCCCCTCCTCCCCCTCCTCCTCCTCCTCCTCCTCCTCCTCGTCCTCCTCGTCTTCCTCGTCCTGTTCTTTTCTTCACCTCCTCCTTCCTTTCCTCCTCGTCACCCTCCCCCCTCCATTTTTTCTTATGAATAACTGCCCCCTGTCGCACCCCGAGGCCAATCGGACGGACGGGCTGGGCGTTTCGCCTGATACCTTACCACTTATGAGCCTGAGCCCAACACGCCGGCAACAGTTTCGCAGATGGTGACTCGCTTGCAAA